GTGAAGCGTATACGAAGCAACCTGGCTCTGATACCACTTGTAGGATCTCTAGGAAGATAAAGAAGGCCTAGAGGGGGAGGTGAATAGTCCTATAAAAATTCAACTCAAAACTCTGTTAGAATAGAGGGCGGCACTGCCGCTCTTCGAAAATAAATCTAACATAGCTGAGATTTTATAGAGATGAACCTGACCCCATTAGCTGCTTAATCCTACAATAGAAAGATAAGACCCAGTTCGAAGACTGAATACCACAGAAACTCCACACAAGAGTGGATCGAGCAACCAAACCCTAACACCAGCTAGCAAAGAGCTAAACCAGCAAGTAAACAAGATGAAGCACACGAGACACAGGATTTATCCCGTGGTTCAGCTCACCACAAAGGTTTGCCTAAGTCCACGTTGTTGAGGAAGCCACAAAAGGCTTGGGCTTGCCACAAAGGCTTGCCTTACCCTCGTTCTCAAATCAAGAGGATGAACTCTTGAAGTGATAGGTGATTTCTTAGCTTCAAAAATGAGGTTACAAACCTCCCAAGGCTGACACACGAGTTGGCAAGCTCAAGGGCGACGCCTAGCCGGCTAGGAGCAAGCTCCAAGAGTAACAAACCATAGAACCACCGGCCAAACATAAACCAAATGCTCTTAGACTTTGGGAATTAGTGGATCTGCTCTCCAATCGAGTTTTGCTGCCTTTTCTCTCAAGTTTTGATGGTTGGAATCAAGAATTTGCTTGAGGGATGGAGGAGCAACAATGGAGGAGAGAGGGTGAGCTTTGGTTCTATTCTGTTTTGAGCAGAATGGCTGAGTGAAGTAGATGATCGTTGTGGGCGGCGACGCGATGAACGGAGATGCCGTCCCGAGCTCCCTCCGCGACGGCGGACTCCTCCCGACAACGGCGGTCTCGTTCCCATGAGCCAAGGCACAGACAACGTGAACAAGCTCAAGGATGGGCATCAGCAACTCACCCCGAACCTACCAGACGTGGTGGATTGACTGGAGAAGGACCGAGCCGAGCTGGCCGCGTGCGCACGGACGGTGCGGTGGCGCATGGCGGTGGCAAAGCAGCGTCAGGGGAGGCTATGCGGCAGTAGCGATTCGACAAAGGTGCATAGGGTGATTAGCAGGTGGAGGCAAAGCTAGCGATGCAAGAAATTGACATGAGCTGCACTGGATAGGTCGCTTGCCTTCGACGCATTCAACGTAGACCGACATGGTCTTATTGACCCGGCGGAATGGCAGCTCCAAATTGGAGCACAGCACGGCGAGCCTCGCTGTAAGGTGGGGTCGGGGGGGTGACTGGCTACTCAACGGAGCTGAGGATGGGGTTAATTGGATTGAGGTGGCTCCACTAGGCCGAATTGAGAGGTGCAGGACCCAGCGACCATGGCGACAGCGGAACAGGGGAACGGGCTTGGCGTGGCTCGTCATTGCCGTGGCGCGACGCGGCTGTCAATTCGGTGTACAATCATGTATGGCTATGGGGCGATGGAGAAATGGCCAGCGTACACAGGACGGTGGGCCACACGACCATAAACCGCAAGTCGACGATGGCGGCTCGGCCCTGCGCCGCAGAGGCATGGTGTCGGTCAACACAGCGTCACATCGAGCATGATGTGATGGTAAGGGCAGGCGGCACGGAGACATGTGGGCAGAGCCAAGCGTGGCCACGAGCGCATGGTACTACCAGGCGAGCGCGAGGCGGCAGCGCGGCCAGGCGGACGCGACGGTGGTGGCAGAGCGCACATAGGCGACCTCGCACAAGCAGCCACGGCCAACAGCAGCGGGGTGTCGAGACACGCGGAGTCAGTGACACGGTGAAGCGGCGGCAGTGGGCTAGCCAGGACAGCGGGCCCGCGGCGACAACGGCAGTGGTAGAGCGACCAGACCCGCCGGTGCGGCGTGCATGCATGCGCGAGAGTGAGCGCGAGCCAGGGCGTGGCAACGGTGAGAGTGGCCCGCAGCATGGAGCCAGCGGCAGGCCCGACCAGCGTGGTGGCACACGTACAGTGTGCGAGCGCGTGCGCGTCAGCGGCCGGCGCGATAGCGCCGAGGGCCGAGCACGGTGGCCGCGCCCAGATGTAGAATTGTGTCGTGCACGTTTTTTAAAGTGGTCCTAAACCCCAACTCGATGATCCAATTGCTAAGCCAGTTTTTCTACACTTAAGAGGGTATGTCAAACTACTAAAATAAGCCCTAATACCCTACCATTGCTTAACCCAAATTTCCTACAAAAATTGTCGAACTTAGCTTCATCGAACCATTTTCCGACTTACGAAAATTAACTAAGTCCTTATTGGTTTCGCGTCGAATTCGATTTCCGAGCTATCAAGTATGCTAGCTAGCGAATCTCATTCTCGACCGCAAGTATTTCACTGCCACCTACGAAGTTTGTACCACAAACTTTATTAAAGTGTCGGGTATGTGTTCTATAGCATTTTCGTTCAATAAAAATTCATTTAGAACCCTAAGTGATATAACGCGACATGAAACATAACATTCATTTCACGTTTCTGATGAACGTTTCGAGCCACAGAAATTGATTTACACTCTATAATTCATACACTATCATATAAACATGATGCATATGCAATGTTTTAGCAAAAAATGTACAGTGTAACACCGAGGGTGTTACAAGCTCTGCCCCGGCCGCCGCGAGCGAACTCCACCCCGGCGCACGGCGGCGAAGCTGCAGCCATCGCGCGACCGCTCCTGCAGCTTGACGAGGCCCTTGGGCACCGTTATGGAAGGTGGGCGAGCTAGGCGCAGGCGAGGTTGCCATTCCTTGGCGTACACCGCGGTCGCACACAATGTCGTCGTCTAGGCCTAGGCGTCATCGTAGCCTGGGCCTTATCCATGGCGGCGACGAGCTCCCCCCGCGCGACAAGTGTGGCGCTCGTCACCCGTGTCCACGGCGCCGCCACCTGTGCAAGTGGACGCCTCGCCGTGCTCTGGAAGCCACCACGAGCACCGGTCGAGCCCATGTCGGCCCTGCCTCGCGATGCTCGGCTATAAAAGCCAGAACGCGTCTGCCATGGCCACTCTCTGCATCTTTCAAAATTTGCCACGAGCCAGCCTTCTCGTTTCGATTCCTTGTAGCAATGAGTGATTAAGGTTGAAAGCTAGCTCCTAGAAGCAATCTCGTCGAGAACGATCAAGGGTAGGGGCTGTATTGGCTGATCCCGTCGTCGCTGTCCGCCATGGTCACAAAGCCAAGAACGTGCGTGGCCGGATTTTTTCATCCCTCTCTTGGTCATTGTCTCAGTATCCCTGACGTAGGAGGTGGCTCCACCGACAGAGGCGGTGCATGGCCACGCCAGCCACTGCACCCGTGTGCATGGCTGCGCCCTGCCCCGTGTGCGTTCAGCGAGGCGCGGTGGGCCCCGAGGCGGCGCACAGCCGGCCTCTAGGCGTAGCGCAACCGTCCTCTAGGACGCGGCGTGGCCGACCCCTAGGCGCGGCGTAGCCGGACCTCAAGCGCGGCTCGCGGCCAGCTCGGGGGCGGCGTGCGGCCGTCGTCCCGCAGGGCGCGACGCGGCTCTCGACCGGCCCCGAGAACGGTGAGTACGCGCTCATGGTGGCACCGGAGCACCCGACGTGAGATGCAAGCAAGGTGACCGTCCGAGGACATGGCTCGTGCTAGCGACTAGCGCGCGGGCAGGGGTGCGCTTAGACGGCGAGCGCCTCCGGTTCGACGCGCGCGAGCGAGGGCGAGGAGACGGACATGGAGACCGACCCATCCTTGGCGCCATCCGCGTTCCCGTCGTCATCCCATGCTCCTTCCGCGTCGGCTGAAGCAACGGGCACGAGGCCTCAGCTCGCGCTGCTTGTCTTGAGGAGGAAGAAGGTGTTGAGTCGTTGACAGCTTGCCCCACCCGATGTAGAGAGAAAGAGGTAGAGGATGAGGTTATGAAAGAAGGGCATTTTAGTCGTTTTTAGTGGCTGGGCCCACTGTCAGGGCTAATAAACTACGAAAATCAAATGAAAAGTGGACGGAATGGAGTGAGAGTAAAAAAAATAAAATGTCATCACATCAAAATGCGTTTAAACTTTTTAATCGCGCTCCGAGCATCTTTCGCACACATGAAAAGGCTCTTCCCCCGCGGCCGCGGGAGTGTTCGTGTTCCTCACTCCTGCTTCCTTCCCCTGCACTCCCTCAGATCCGCGCCCGTTTCCCGATCCCCGGGCCTCGCGACGCGAGGGGGCATTCCAGCCCTAAAGCGGCCGGTGAGCAGGCCTCCTTCCGCCGACGCGGACCACCTGGAGGGAATTTATCCTGGAGCCGTCTTCCTCCTCGCCTCCTCTCGCTGCGCGGCGCGGATGCTGGTGTCACTTGAAGGTCCAGCTGTGTTTGGATTGATTTCTTCGTTCGTGGGTAAGGAAGCACGGCTGGATCGTTCGGATGGTGGATTGTTCATTTGTTCTACCTACGGGTGGGTTTTTTTGGGCTCCATAGGATCTTAGTATGCATACGCAGTGACTAATCAGCGATCTAATCTAGATCAGTCTTGCTGGGATGGATACTCCAATCCCTCCGTCCATGCGGTTAGCTAAGCATTTGTTTGGTGGATGGTGACTGGCGGGTTTGTAATAATAGCTGTTTTTTTTGCAAATAAATTGAGGCTCAACTAACTGAAACCCCATCCCCCTCGTTAAGTCCGCCCTTCCCGTTTGCTGAGGGAGTAGGGAGCGATGTCCAGGTCGTGTCAACCGCTATGTTTATACTAGGACATCGAAATTGCTCGGTTAGGCCTGAAATCGACACCTTATATTACTCTTGTTTCTGGTCATCACATAGTTAGGTGTGTTTAGTATGTTCTTCCTGGGTTGCCATTTCTGTTGTTGATATGCATTGCATCTGCTTATTGTTACGCATTTCTTATGTTGACATAAATTTCCTCGTTATAATCTTTCTGCAGTGGCTAGAGGTGGTTTGTTTTAGCTGAAGCTGGTGGTACATGTGAATAGCAGGGCCTGTCTTCTGTCTCTGCTTTTGCTTCTAAGCAATGGCGAATGCAAGCAAACACTTGCAACCTTCAGGCAATGACAGGAAGTACCAGGGCACGTTGGTTGCTTCTCCAGCAAAGGTCATTTCACCTAAGTGTGTGAACCGCATTGTGCCATCAAAACAACTGATCTTGGGTGGGGATTCAATAGGCCATGTGGCATCATTTCTGATTAAGGTCGTTGCTCTTGAGGCAGTCAGAAGAGTTTCTAAAGCAAGATGCCCTTTCATATGGAATTCTGTTCAAGCATTGCAAATCCTTGTGTATCCTCCATTTAGTTGGATCCAAAGATGGGCACCACTCAAATTTCTCGTGCAGGGAATTCAGGTTATTTGATTTCTCAGCTCTCCAAAATGGATACTCTTTATTTTCAAAATTAGTTAGTGCTTTAGCAAATACCACGTGCCTAGATATTGTATTATTCCTTGACTTAGATGAAAGATAGATGAGGGAGGGGCAATGCTATTTTGTTATCCATTACTACCTTCTGTCTACTAATTTGACCATAGTACTGTAGTACGTCAACATTGTCTCATTTACTCACAATCTTAATAACGTGTTCAGTTCTGATGTAAATTAAGGGCGTACCCAGTGCAGAGAGCTCCCGCTCTGTGCGGGGTATGGGGAAGGGTGTCAGTGGCAAGCCTTACCCTCGCCTGTGCAATGCGAGGAGACCGCGACTCGAACCCGGTACCTTCCGGTCACAGGCGGTAAGACTCTACCGCTTGCACCAGGCCTGCCCTTCTGGTTCTGATGTAAATTATATAGTTTATTTGTGTTTCAAACATGGTGACCTGGAACAATTTTCTCTAGAAATTAACATAGATCGAGCAGCACTATCTTGTCAATAGGTTCTTAGGATGCTCAAATTTTCTTTCCATTCTGGCATATTTTTTAGCAGCCTTTTTTAGTTTCAACGCTACAGCAACAAGAGCACTGTTTTAGGCGTTTGCTCAATTGCATGTTTTACTTTTTTTGTAGCCTTGACAAACATTTTATCCGTCCTTTGAGCCCATGCCAAGTCAAACCATGACTGGTCCAGAGTTAATCTGTAGTGAAATGTTCTAACTCACACTCTTGTTTAATATATGAAGAATTCTACTTAGCTTAGAGCTGGCATAAGACTAGGAGTTTGGTTTGGGGCATTGGGTGTTTTGCACAATGGCCTCCTTGCAACATCATCTGGGCTTCTAGACAGATTATGAAATCAAAAACATTTTCCGAAAATGTGGTAAGCGCTAGGCGAGGTGGCACCTACCTCATAATCGCCATTAAGAGGGCTATGCAGCTACCTTTTATGACAGTGACAAAAAATAGACATGTCTTATTTAATGTACATTGCAGCACTTCACAAGATAACCTGTACCTTACTGTGGAACATCCCACGTAAATTCATGTGATGAGTGCGCTGTAGATGTCAATCAAATCTCATTTGTATCTTTTCCCTTCTTCTATACATTGTTGGATACTTGAATGGGTTGCATAACACATTCCAAAACAGCATTTTATTTTCCCAAAAAAAAAGAGCTCCAAGTAATTGATGATTTGTTCTCTACTGCAGAAACTATCCATGCCACTGTTGTTTCTGTTAGTCACAACAACAGTAAGTGAGCTGTCTTCCAAGCGTGACGATGAACCAGATAACAATACCGAACATTCTGAGACGCCTTCTGAAACAAATGAAGTGGCATCAACTTCCGGCACAAGGTTGGTTAAAACTTGAGAAATAAGCCAATAAATATCTCTTAGTTTATACAGTGCTTTGCTGGTTTGTTGTCATTGAATTATGATATTATACTATTCTAGTTCTTTGGCATCCTATCACAGCATTTAGATAGTGGTATGAAGAGTGAAGCTGGAAGGATTGCAAATAATGCGTGGATGTATTGCATTATTCCCTCTCGGGCAGTATATATAGTGAGTACATAGACTTGGGGGGCAAGACACCTCCCTAGATACTTATGCCAATACCTCATTTACAATCCTAACTACCAAATATATACTCTTAACAAAAAGAAGTCTGCCTTGTTTAATAACACAGTGGGTTTGACTTGTTTTAGCGATGCTGCTGATGGCACAAAGGAAATCGTGCAAGAGAACTGGCTTGTGTTACTTTTCAGGGAGCTTGAGAAGCAAGGAATCACTTTGCCCGAGAGGTGACTTTCTGCTATATTCTTTGCTATTCATGTGCATCATATTTGGAACTATTGGAGTATTTGTCCTTGAGTTAGGATCTGAAACACTGCAGCAGGCAAAAAAGTTCTTTGTACATTTCGAAGCGCTTTTTTTACTGTACTTCTGAATATGGACATCAGTTTATCCTTAAGAAGAGAACTTTGATAGAAGTGCAGAAATATGTTACTGTCTATGTTATCTGTGTGAGGATAGACACAGCTTCTAAGTTCTCATTTTAATGAATTCTACAAATTAGTTGTTATATTATGTTGGTAATCTTTTGATCTTGCTTGCAATGCTATTATCTACAAATAAAGAAGATATATAATATCATTTCGTTTATACAGTAGTCTTTTAATCAAGCTGCCTTTATTAGGAAGGTAGCACATGTCTGAAATGAGCATCCTAGTTTCACACAACTGACTCTAGATGGATGTTTCAGGTTTCCTGAAGATGAGTTACGCAGATTTTATGTCGCTGCAAATGGTGACTTTTCAAGTTTACTCTCTTCGGTTAAGAAGACAATTCGTTGGAGGGAAACGTTTCACATACTTACATTGCAAGAACTTGATAAATGGTCTCACTTAGTCTTTTGGCATGGATTTGACACGATGCTTCGGCCTTGTTTAGTAATTCGTCTCGGACTTGCATGCTCCAGCATACCTCCTCGTGATAGACCCCGTTTCGGGCAAGCAGTAGGTAATTTCCCAAACTGTTCTGTCTGTAAATTTATTTATGTTCTTGATGATTATCATTCTCTACGTGATAATGTCATTATGGCCTCAAAGTTTACTGCTGGGTAGTCAAACTCACATGTAGGGTGGGCAATGTTTTTCCTGCTTGCAGTAATCTGCTTCTTTCAATAGATCTTTTCTGCTAGCAACATATCTTCTATCGGTGGAACTCTTAGGCTCAGTTTAGCATTATAGTGATTTTCAAAAACATATCCTTCTATTTGTTTCTTTTTTTTGTCTATTGGAATTACTTGAAAACATTTCTTTGAATCGAAGTCTTACTGTAACTGTCAAAACTCAAATCGATAAAGAGCCCTGTAACTCAGTAGACATAGTATAACAAAATGGGTGCTACCGCACTAGCACATGGCCTTTGTTGTGCTCCCTGCCTCTCCCCTGGTTTACTTACTACGGAGAAGGTATTATGATTTGTTTTCACCTTTTGCTTCCTCTAATTGTTTGCAAGAAAAGTGGCTACTATCTCACTGATGTCTTTCAATTCAGTTTCTCAAATTGACCATGGTGTTGTAAATTTGAGCAATGAAGAAGATTCAAGAATTACCGTTTTGCTGGATTGCCATGGGATTTCTCCATTCAGATTTCCAATGCAAATGATGAGGTCATTTATCACTGTAGTTCAAGAAAACTACCCGAATCGTCTTGGGGTATTGTTTGTTGTCCGCCTTCCTCCAGTTGTCAGAGTTATTGCACAGACATTTCTTCAAGTAAGATAATTATTACTCCCTACTTGCATCTCATGCTGCTGGTTTTGTCTTGTGTATCCACTTCGCCTGTTTTATTTGGGTAATGAATATTTTTGAAACGACCTGCTTTTTAGTTATGTCTGTTATGTTATAAGGTGACAAAATATTTCCTGTTTTTAACTACAACTGCTGTTCTTTTAATATGTCTAGAAGTGCATTATTGACGATGCACCATCAATTCATTGTAAGATCTGCAGTTTTCTTGACAACACAATATCTTTGTTCTAAACATGCATGTCAGTTCGTGGAGATATACTTTGTCAACGATATACAAAATCTAGTGGACACATGAAATCTTCACTCTCATATGGTAACTTGGAATGCTGATGAACAGCACAATCTTGTCTTAATCCCAAACCCTAATGGATGCTGTGTATAATGGGAGGATGCAAATATTTGTAAAGATAGCACTTTGTATTTTTATCTACCTGTTATCAACTGGGCCCCTCTTGTATATATAGATATCATGCGGTGTTGTATAGATAAGATAAATAGATAATAATAAGTTTTTCATGATCTTGTTTGGTCAGTGATGGTTAGTGGGACTGGTACCTGATTCCTTCATGAGCATGTCTCTTTAAAATTTTGAAACTCAATACTATTTATCCACTTCAACTTTTGTTTGATGCAAAAAGTTTCCTGCAACACTTGTTTTTTGACCAAAGTTGGTAATCTAATCAGGATACAAACCAACCAAGGTTCACTGCAAGTTAAAATAATCTGTAGAAGGGATCAGTTTAACTTTGTAGCTTTTCACTGGTAGATTGCAACATCACATGGTACTTATAGCTTAATTCTATACAGGTTTTGAAACCATCTACAAAGCAGAAGTTACGTTTTGAGGGAGATTCGTACAAGAAGACATTGGCAGAGTTCTTGCAGGTTGTGCCAGCATTTCTGGGCGGTAAATGCAGCTGCCCACAATGTGAGAAGCCTCGTAATAGTTCAGTGATACAGGCAGGGGAAGGGAGCAAGAACCAGCCTCGCTTGGTCAGCGTTGATGACGGATCACCTGTCACAGACTTCGATGAAGAAGAGATCCCATCAGCTTATAGCTGTGAGAATGCCATCAGGGCTGCAATAATCGGCCTGCTGATGGTGTGCATCTTCATCGCGTTTCTGGCTGGGATGAACGACCCCGCATCCGTTCCGCCCAGTGCCTGAGAGCTATGGAATCGCCTACTCTCCTATAGTTGATCTTAGATTGTCAGTTGAGTAATAGAGTATATACATACATGTGTTGCTGCTAGGATGCTAGGGTGTTGTTTTCCTTGGCAACTTCTCGGTTGTCGTCAGACCGCCATGATAGTGCTGTCTCTCAATATGAGCGCAGATGAATAATATCCTGTGTGTGGCAAATGTTGGTTCACAGTTCAATTTGAGCCCTTCGATGTCTTTCTTAACGGTTCACAAATATCCTGTAGTAGGGCAATGTGATTTCTCGTTAGTGTAAGTCAAAGTTGTCAACCACGAGGCCACAACACACTGACTTGAATGGTTTCAGCTCTTTATCAGCCTGTTCGTTTGGTTGTATTTGGCTTATAAGTCATGGCTTATAAGCCATGGTTTATCAGCCAACGAATATTATTTTTCTCTTACACCAAACCAGCCAACAATACTTTCAGTCATGGCTTATAAGCCAAACCAGTCCAATCAAACAGGACGTATATAGTTCATCATATGTTGCGCTATGATAATCCTTTGCGTAGGGCGCACCGACTAGCATTTTTCTCAAGAGAGCGGAGTGCTATCTGCGCCAGCCCCCTCCCCATCTAGAGTTCTAGAGGCTAGGCCGACTTCTCCACGTCCCTTGCCAACCTCATCGTCCAAAGCAGGTGAACACAGCGCCGAAAGCCATGCAGAACAAGCGAAAGGTGAAGAGTGGGTTGTACTCTAGCGAGATGCGGTGAAGCACTAGTCTGATGTTCAAGTCATTGGCTAGGAAGGGCTGCAGGAGCATGGAGGGTGTCAAACGGCGAGCTTGATGGCAGGACCGTCGACATCAAGCTTAATGGCGAGGGGAGAGGCAAAGGGGCGGCAGTGGTGATGGGACCGCGGAGGGTGTCCTTAGTGGCAGAGGTGTGTATGGGGTGGCATCGCCTGGGAGAGGGGGGAGCTGGAGGAGACATAAGTGAAAATTTAGTCGGGAGGACTGATTTTTTTATTTTTTTTCTCTTTTTTTGAATTTTTTTCTCAAATATGTCCCTGGAGGTATGATTTTAAAATCTAGACACTTAGCTCGGCGCCATCGTTGCTGGCGCCGAGCTCGGGGCCACGTTGGCGCCATGGACGCTGACATGGCAGCCAACTCGGCGCCAACAATCCTAGCGCCAAGCCCTCTTACGTATGGGCCCGCGGTTCCTTTCTCTCTTCCTCTCTCTTTCTCTCTACCGTCCTCGCCCGCACCGTCCGCGCGCCCATGTGAAAGGTCCTAATATGGCTAGAGGGGGGGTGAATAGCCTATTTAAAAATCTACAAATCAACTAGAGCAATTTGATTAGTATGACAAATAGCGTAATGCAAACTTGCCCCTAGCTCTACAAGGGTTGTAAGCCACCTATCCAACAATTCTAGTTGTAATAATTACTTAGGCACAAACTTGCTATGTAACTACTCACTAAGAGCTCTCAAACTTGCTACTCTAAAGAGCTCAACTAGATGAATGTAAATAATAAAGCAAGCTCTCAATTCTAATTACACTAAAGAGCTTGTATCAACTAGTTTGCAAGAATGTAAATAAGTGAGTAGGGTGATTATACCGCCGTGTAGAGGATGAACCAATCACAAGATGAATATATATAGCCAATCACCGGGAGAATGCCAAAGACAAGAGACAATCGATTTTCTCCCGAGGTTCACGTGCTTGCCAACACGCTACGTTCCCGTTGTGTCGACCAACACTTGGTGGTTCGGCGGCTAAGAGGTGTTTCACAAACCTCGTCCACACGATAGGACACCGCAAGAACCGACCCACAAGTGAGGTAACTCAATGCCACGAGCAATTTACTAGAGTTACCTTTCGGCACTACGTCGGAGAAGGTACAACTCCCCTTACAATCACCGGAGATGGCCACGAACAATCACCAACTCGTGTCAATCCTCCACCGCTGCTTCAACCGTCTAGGTGGTGGCAACCACCAAGAGAAACAAGCGAAATCCGCAGCGCAACACGAATGCCAAGTGCCTCTAGATGCAATCACTCAAGCAAAGTACTTGGATTCTCTCCCAATCTCACAATGATGATGGATCAATGATGGAGATTAGTGGGAGGGCTTTGACTAAGCTCACAAGGTTGCTATGTCAATGAAAATGGCCAAGAGTGTGAGCTTGAGCCGGCCATGGGGCTTAAATAGAACACCCCACGAAATAGAGCCGTTGTACCCCTTCACTGGGCACAACACGGGGTGACCGGACGCTCCGGTCATAGTGACCGGACGTTGAACCCAGCGTCCGGTCGCCCGATGTAAGCCACTTGTCATTCTGAGTTAAACCTAAGCTGCCAGATCTCAACGGCTATTGACTGACCGGACGCTCCGACAGAGCTGACCGAACGCTGGACCCTCAGCGTCCGGTCGTTTCTAGTAAGGGTCCAAATCGTATTTTTGCCGATCGGACGTGTCCGGTCATGCTTGATTGGACACAGCCCAGCGTCCGGTGCTTAATCCTAACCACTATGATGTCTGACGGCTCGACCGGACGCAGCCTTTCAGCGTCTGGTCGCTGAGTGACCCAGCGTTCGGTCAGTAGACCGACGCCAGCATCATTACGACCAACTCCATTTCACTTCTAACTTCTCCACCCTTGCTCAAATGTGCCAACCACCAAGTGTATCACCTTGTGCACATGTGTTAGCATATTTCATAAACATTTTCAAGGGTGTTAGCATTCCACTAGATCCTAAATGCATATGCAATGAGTTAGAGCATCTAGTGGCACTTTGATAACCGCATTTCGACACGAGTTTCACCCCTCTTAATAGTACGGCTATCAATCCTAAATGTGATCACACTCGCTAAGTGTCTCGATAACTAAAATAAAATGGCTCCTACAATTTATACCTTTACCTTGAGCCTTTTGTTTTTCTCTTTCTTCTTTTCCAAGTTCAAGCACTTGATCATCACCATGCCATCACCATTGTCATGATCTTCGTCATTGCTTCATCACTTGGAGTAGTGTTACCTATCTCATAATCACTTTGATAAATTAGATTAGCACTTAGGGTTTTATCAATTAACCAAAACCAAACTAGAGCTTTCAATCTCCCCCTTTTTGTAATTGATGACAACCCTTACACAAAGATATGAATTGAGATTTAATTGAATCCACGTTGCTTGCCCAAGCATATTTACCATGTGTAAAAGAATATGGACAAGTTTCATTAACTCCAAATGGTAGCAATTGCTCCCCCTACATATGTGCTAAGAGTTTGGATTGTAGCTTGCACATATGCTTAGATAGGAAATATAGGAGTCAATTTCTACCAAATGATGCTAAGGTATAAGAGATGGACCTTTGAAGCGTGATACCAATCGGAGTGCACCAATATACCATCCTTAGCACCATTAGTAACTAGATATACACAAAAACTAAAATACCCCATGAGATCAACATTGCAAGTAAGGGTCTAGTTTCCATAAAATGATTTTAAGTCTAGTTACTTTAGCTCAATACCACTTGGAAATACAATCACTAGATTACCTATGCATGCTAGTTTTTCATTTTATCAATCAAGTATATAACTAGCATACACCACACAAGCATGGATATTGAAATTTAAAACTTGTGCCATGCAAGTAAATATATGAAATGCACATTCAAATGCAACATACAAGTTTATGAGCTTGCTCCCCCTACTTGTGTGCTCAAAATTTTAATTGATCCATTTCCTTTATCATATATCTCATATCTCTCCCCCTACCCTTTCCTTTATCATATATCTCATATCTCTCCCTCTATATCAAATACTTCCCTATCATGCATATCTTTGTTTCTCTCCCCCTTTGTCAACAATTAGCACAAAAGGTGAGCTCAAATTTTAGATAGGTTGGGGTGAAACCATATGAAGTGAGGATCATTTTCCTAGTTAGGTTCAATCTAGATCACTTGCAAAGGATATTTAACTCGGTTTGATCCAAGGACAAACTTCTTTGCGCCTCCAAATAAGGGTTATCTTGTACCATGTTGAGTTAAACACTTATAGCTTATTTTCTAGATCAAACACTAGGTTTACAAGCCCACAAACATGTCATATGCTACCACTAGATCATTTCAAGCATACAAGCAATAGTGGTACCATACAAGCATTAAATTCATTTGATTTTCATGAATGAGCCTATTCAAATGTGAAATATGTCTAGATGCACTAATCATGTCCTTAGCAATGATGTATGCCATGCCAATCAACTTTTACCTTAGATTGCTCGAAGGAGAGGCATGTCATATAATTTGGGGTGTATCAACACATATTGGAGAAGTCAAGTATGTTCAATTCATTCCTTAGCATGAAAAACCTCTTTTCATCAAGTGGCTTGGTGAAGATATCGACAAGTTGATCTTCGGTGCCCACACTCTCAATGCAAATGTCCCATTTTTGTTGGTGATCTCTTATGAAGTGATGGCGGACATCAATATGCTTTGTTCTTGAATGTTGAACCGGGTTGTTGGTGAGCTTTACGGTACTCTCATTGTCACATAGCAGGCACTTGCTTGAATTTGATTCCAAAGTCACTCAAAGTAGCCTTCATCCAAAGTAATTGAGCACAACAACTACCGGCCGAAATGTACTCCGCTTCGGCCGTTGAAAGTGCTACACAATTTTGCTTCTTTGATGACCAAGACACAAGTGATCTTCCCAATAGTTGATATGTGCCCGATGTGCTCTTTCTCTCAACTTTGCATCCCGCATAATCGGAGTCCGAATATCCAATCAACTCAAATCTTGCTCCTTTGGGATACCACAATCTAACATTTTGTGTATGCTTCAAGTACCTCGATATTCTCTTTGTTGCCTTCAAATGACTTTCTCTTGGTGAGGCTTGAAATCTAGCACACATGCACACACTAAACATCACATCTGGCCTTGATGCGGTCACATAGAG